AGAGTGCCATTTTATTTATTTATTTATTTTTTATACAAATAAAAAGAATGTACAAATTTTTGCAATAATTATAAATAAGAAATAATTACATGCGATAAAAATTATAGTTACAAATATTTCTCTTATATACGTACAATTGATTAATTTTTCACTCCCATGTTCAAGTATTTGTCGCAGAAAATTTTTTTTTCTTCTCTTTTCATTTCATTTAATTTACAATTTTTTATTTCATTTATTCAAGAAACTGTGTAATTTTAATATTTATTATATTTATTCAATTTATTAATTATTTTTAATATTATTTTTAAAAATAAAGAAAATTCTTTTGACAATATCGCAAGTTTATAAAAGCAAGAAAAATTCGGCAGATTTAAAAAAAATGTTTAGAGAGAATTCAAGTTTAATATTTTTCTTTTCATTTACACCGACATTTTTAACTATAACAAGAAAATATTTCGAAATTTTCATAAAATTATTTTTAGGGTTTTTTTTTGCGAGATAAATTTTCAATGATCATATAAAATAAAAATCGGTTAGAAAATATTTTATCATTTTTAAAATTTATATTTTTCTCAAAAATTGTGATAGATTTTGAAAATCGCATGCGAAATTTTATGGAAAATAAGTTTTTGAATTCATGAAAAAAAATTGATTTTTACAATTTTTGCAGCATTTTGTTGTAAAAAAATTGAAAATGCTAAAAAATATCATTATTATTCAATTTTTTTATTTGACAATTAATTTCTTTATTTCTTAACTAATTTCAAATCATAATTTTTTTATATTTTTTATTTTAATGTATAAAAATTATAATCTGAACTTAGAAAAACAAAATGAATTTTCAAATAAAAAAATTGAATAACAATGGCATTTTTTCAGTATTTTTAACCTAAAAGCAGTTTTTTTGTTAAAAATATATTTTTAAATCAACCAAAAAAAAATTTCCATATAAAAACATTGATTTTTTCTATTTTTGGAGCATTTTTTTCCAAGAAAACTACTTTTATTTATTTATTTATTTTTTGAATTTACAAACAAATTTATTTTACAATTTTTAAAGCATTTTTTTGTTAAAAAAACGGAAAATGTTAAAAAAAATACCATTACTATTAAATTTTTTTAGTTAAAAATTCATTTATTTATTTTTTTAAATAATTTCTGATCATAATTTTTTTATATTCTTTATTTTTTATACATACAAATTAAAATCCGAAATTTTAATTCGTTAATTTGAAAATCCATTTCTTTATTTTTTTAAACTAATTTCAGATCATAACTTTTTATATTTAATATTTTTTAATTTTTTATAAAAAATTACAATCTGTAATTAGAAAAAATGGATTTTTATATAAAACAATTGAATAATAATAGTATTTTTAGTATTTTCAAATTAAAGACTAAAAAAAATTCTTGAAAAATAGTAAAATCAATTTTTCCATTTGTCAATTTTTTTTGTCGATTCAAAAAATATTTTCAACAAAATGACGCATAAATTTTTTAAATATTGCAATTTTTCAGAAAAAAAATTTTTTTTATTTTTTTTCCTAAAAGAGACAAAATATTTTCCAGCCGATTTTATTTTCTGACCATTGAATTCCTCTCGCAAAAATTCGAATATTTAAATTATTTTTTTTTGGTTTTGTTGAAAATGTAGCCTTTCCCATAAGAAAGAGTTTTTAAACGATTAAATTTACATGGATCAATTTTTTCAAAAAGTAACAAGCGACGAAATGTAAATTAAGAGAAAAATAAATTCAAAGACAATTTCAAGAGAATTTTCTCGATAGAAAAAAAAAGAAAAAGTTTCAAACGTTTAAATTTACTTGAGTCGATTTTTTCATTTTTCAAAAAAGTCCAAAGCGACGAAATACTTGTAAATTAGGAAATAAAAGAATTCAAAGAGAATTTTCTCGATTAAAAAAAAGGTAAAACTAAACCTAAAATATTTTAAAAACCAAAAAATTATCGAATAATCGAAGAAAAAGGCATTCTTCAGGGCAGTTGAATCAAAATTATACATTATCTCTATATATATATATTTATATAACAAATATCAATCTTAAAAGTTATGTATTTATAAACATCACTATTTCTTGTGCCTCGTAAGTAATATGCACGCCAATTATAACACAACAATCGATAAATGTATTAAGTGGTGTTTTTTTTTCTTTTTTTTTCATTATAATGTATATATTTTGAAAAGATGCGACTTATTCGGGAGATAGCGCGCTACTGTACATCAGTCTTAATATCAGGGCGCACCATTTCCGTGACGTTTCTTTCAATTTTTTTTCATTTTTTTCTTTTTAAAAAATCTTTTTTTTTATTCATTTTTTTTTTCTATTTTAGAAAGAAACGCTACTATATTTGACCCTTCCATTCAACCTAAAAGGACCATTTATACACAAGTGCCATGGCAGTTTGAAAAATCGGTATGATATTTACGAGAATGAATTTTTTTTAATAATGGGTGGGGGGGAATATGTGTTGAGAGTCGGGTGTGCAAATATAAAAAAAAGAGAAAAAAACATTTTTTTTCGTGTATATTCGCATTCTACAAGTGGGAGGAGGTTTCATAGATCTTTCATTATATATATAATACAATTAGCGTGTAGTAGTAAAATCATATACAATTGTTACAATATTTAAATATTACTTATTATACATATATGTATATATAATACGTATGTATATGTATATATACATATATATACATATATACATATATCATACCGATAAAGGTTTTTTTTATATTTAAAGTTTAAGTATACATATACAGATATTTTTATATTTATAAATATATATTTATATATATTTATATATATATACAAATATATAAATATATATTTTATATTAAATCGCCTTCCTGCTCTCGTTACGTCGCGATTTTTTTTTTTTTTTTTGGAGGACGCGCAACGTAACTTTGAGACAATGATGTTTTGCAAACAACGAATTGGTCTTGTTTAGATTCTAAATTAAAAAAAGAAAAAAATTTAAATTAAAACACGAAGAGAATGTAAATATTTTCCATTAGACAGTAGAAGAAAAAAACTTAAAAACTATAGTCGAAGAGTGAATTTTATAATTTCTCGAAACTGTCTAATTGGAAAAAAAAGAAAAACAAGACCCGTTTTTGAAAAAAAAATTTCTTTGTCTAGAAAGCAATTTTCCCTGGAGAAAAAAGCGTTTTCTTTTGACTAAAGAAATGGATTTTTGACTAAAAGAAATTTTTTTTTTTTGAATAAGAAGAATATTTTTAAAAATAAAAAAAGTTCTTTTCTATTTTGAAATTAACATTGAAATAATTTCGTAGTTATGCAAGGGACATCATCTGATTGAGAAAAGTAGGAAACTTTGTCTCAACTTTCACTGTTACTATATTACACTTGGTGCTCGTTTCAAGTTCAAAATGGAATTAAGCAAAAAATAAATTGCATTTTTAAAAATTCGAAAAAACCGAAAGAATTTTTAAAATTCTTCTTTTATAATAATTTGCTTTTTTCGGAACATTCTGGGAATGATTAATTCTAAATTAATTTAATTACTTTTCAATTTTCTTCGACTACATTTTTAACTAAATCAAGAAAATGATTGAAATCTTCGACAAATTTATTATTATATAGTAATTTTTTTGCGAGAGCAATTCAATTAGAAAATGTTTTCCCTTTTTGAATATTTTACTTTTCTTTTAAAAAATTGATAATTTATTTTAAAAATCAAATCGTAATTTTTCTATAGAAAATATTTTTTTATCTTTAAAAAAATCGGCGAATGAAAAAATTGAGTTGAAAATAAATTCAAAAACTATGGAAATTTTAAATTTTCGTGAAAAATTCTGGCAAAATTCGAAAAAAATTGATTTTTACATTTTTTGAATCATTTTTTTTGTAAAAAAAACTTTTTAGATTGAAAATACGAAAAATACTATTTTTATTCCATTTTTTTGTTTGGAAATTCATTTTTAGTATTTTCAACATAAAAACAGAATTTTTTCCAAAAAAACTGTTTCAAAAATAGTAAAAAATCAATTTTTTTTCATTCAACAATTTTTTATAGATACAAAAACCTATTTACAACAGTTTTACAAAATTACGGATGGATTTTATGATTTATGAAGTTTTGGAAAAAGTAAACATTCAAAAAGGGCCAAAAAATATTTTTTGACCATTGAATTTCTCTCGCAAAAAATTAGTATAAAAATAATTTTATGAAAGATTTAATTCATTTTTATGAAATAGTTCAATTTAACTTGAATTTCATCTAAATCTAACTTAAATTTATATTAAATTTATGTTAAATTTAAATTAAAGTTAAGTTTAATTTATATTGAATTTATACTTAGATTTAAATTAGTTATGCAATTTTTAGGAAAAAATTATTTTTATCCAAACTTGTTTGACAAAAAGCATTTTTTTCTATTTTTTTTCCTTCAAAATTTAATAGAAAATTAATTAATAGTAAATTTCATCCAAATTAAAAAAAAATCCTATTCAAATTTTTGAAGATTCGTTTAGATTTTGGTTTCTGTCTTTATATATTTCTTATAAAATATAATAAACTATTTTCAAATTGAAAACTGGTTAAGAAAAAATTATTTCCATCGAAAAATTGTTTGGCAAATTAAAAAAATCTGCTTAGAACTTTCGAAGATACTTTTAGTTTTTAGTTTTTTTAGATTTGTTCTGTAAAATAAGTTTATTGATTTATTATAAAATATTTAAACTATTTTTAGATTAAAAACTGTTTAAGAAAAATTTATTTCAATCCAAAATTGTTTGTGCAAATTAAAAAAAATTTGCTTAGAACTTTCGAAGATTCGTTTAGTTTTTAGTTTTTTAATTTTGTTCTATAAAATAAATTTGTTTATAAAATACAATAAAATTTCAATTTACAACAGTTTAAGAAAAAAATACAATAAAATTACGGACTTGATTTTTTTCCAAAAATTGCACAACTTAATTTTTGCCCAGAAAGTGTAAAAAAATCCAATTCATATTTTATTTCCACTAAGGAAAAATTTCTTTAACATTTGTGATCATATTCCATAATCGGAACACTTTCTTTTCGATTTCAAAGGAGCGAAATTTAATTTTCAAAAATTCATTTTTCTCAAAAAAAACTCGTCGTACATTAAATCCTCTCCTTTTTACACTTTCTTTTATTTCTTCTCAGAATTTCTTTTTAGAAGAAATTTTTTTTCAACTTCAAAGAAATCTTACAATTGAAAAATTTACAATTACTCCATCCGAAAAAATCAAATTTTGTTTCTATTTCAAAAAATTTTACATTCCATTTTGAACTTTTTCTCTCTCTCTCTCATAATTTCGAGCCGAAACTAAAAATTCCACTAGTGGAACAAATAATAAAAAAAAAGTGAGCTTACAAGCATAAAAATAGTAAAAGTTCGAGAAACTAATAATCTCCTGAATTAAACGATTTGCAAGAGAAAAAAAAATGTCCACTGAATCCGGAATGAATGTTCAACACATCGGATCGATTCAGTATATCTTAGAAACAAAAAGAAAGAAGAAAATAAAACACACAATGGTGTGTCGATAAAATAAAGTAAAAAAAAAGTCGAAATTACATTATCACCCTGCATCTCTTTTGTCCGTTTTTTTTTAATCATTTTTTTCTTTTTGTATTATTTTTTTTACAAGGTCGTCGTAGTAGTCAGAGTGCGCAGGTGTATTCGCCGATAACCGCTATATAAAAAATTTACACTATTTATAATCAAAAAATCGATTTTTTTTTCTTGAAGAATTTTTTTTTTGTTTTGCATTTTAAATTACACCCCCGAGAAATACGCGCACAGAAAGAGAAAAGATCATTGCGAGGAAAAAAAAAATTCTTGTTCTACCGCTTTGAGACATTGAAAATATTCAATTGAATATTTCTTTTTTTACGTATATTATATATTTATAGATATTTATAGATTTGCCTAGAGCGATTAATAGAGCGATAGTGAAAAGTACCTGTTAAGAGGCAGTTAAATCGAACGATGTTCATAATTAATAACGAGATTAAGAATATAAACGTAGAATGAGGGGGAAAGGGGGAGGGGGGACACACTATATATATATTTATAGTTTTATATATATTTTTTGCATTAAACACTAATATTGCCTTAATATAAAAAATTCTTCCGTTTATTTCGGCAATATTGGATTTTTTTTAAAGTTTTTTTTAAGAGAAAGAGTGAAAAGTTTTTTTTTAGAAAGGCAGACAAAAACATTGACTGTCTATTATTTTTTTTCATTTTTACAAAAAAATGACGCGCGATTTACACAATTATGGATTTTTTGCTTTTTTTAAAGGAACTATCGTTAGTTCTTAAAAATTACAAAGTTTGAAAAAAGAAAGGAATATTTTTAAATATTTATTTTATCGACGAAGCGACTCGAGAGACGGAGATATTTGACTGGAATGTCTGTCTTTTATAAAAAAATTGGAATTTTTCTCCACCTTCACCCCATTTGGATTTTAGATTCATCTTTGAAAAAAAAAAATTTATTAGACGGGAATAACTATTATTTTTTACAAATAAATGATGATAAACTTTCGTTTTGTATGAAGAAAAAGCGAAAGTCGGTTTTTTTCAAAAAAAAAAAAATAAAGGATAATTAATAAGATCGACTCTAATAAATCGGTAATATTTACAATATTTTACAAGCAAAAAAAAAGAAAAAAAATACTCCCTTTCTCTCTTCTAAATTTACACACAAAAAAAACAGTTTTCTTTCTTTTTGACATTTTCTATAACTACAATAACAAAAAAATTATTATACATTGTACAAATTTTTCATTTCTTTCGCCCCCGTCGTGAAAAAAAAATTATTGTTCGTCGAAAATCCATGGGGAAGGGGGTTTTTAAAAATTCTCGTGTTTTTTTTTTTTGTTTCGGGGACAAAAAGTACAAATTCGCGAAGGCTATTTTACACGCTGTGATTCGTCGATTTGAGCGGCGTTTTTTTTTTCTACACACCGTTTTATACAATATACAAATTGTGTTTTCATCTACATTGTGAAAAATAGAAGGGGGGTGGTGGGGGGAAGGGGTAAAAAAACGACTTTTTCCGACACGAATGAAAATTGTTTCTTTTTGTTTTGCAATCGTGAAAAATGGAAAAAGAAAATCGTCGTTTATCGGAACTACAATAATTGTAGTTGAATTATTTAATTAATAGTTTATATATAATACACAATATTCACAAGTCTTTTTTAAAAAATAGAAGAAACAACAGTAGAGGTAGAAGAGGAGAATAAAAAAAGAGGGGGGTTGGGGGAGGGGGTAAAAAACGAACCTCTCTGGCCTCTATTCGTCGATCTTTCGGTTATTTTCGAAATTTTTATAAAGAACTCACGTCAGGACAGAGTCAGCGGTCGGTCAAGTATTTTTTTATTATTTCAAAAATGTCGGGGGGACGCTCTCGATTTCACTCCCATGTCGAACGCTCTAAACGCTATTCCTAAAAAAAAACACGTCAGTTTTTCGGCTCCTAAGCCACACTATTTTTTCTGAATTCTTTTTCTACCGCCATTTTTTTAAAAGTTCGGTCACAAAAATCTAATATATCGCGTGATTTTTTTTTCCAACGATAAATGCATATGAAGCACTATGGTCTCTATCCTAGAAAATAGTCTAGATGCGACTTTATTTTTTTTTTTTGTTTGAAAAATTCTAAGTTTTTCAAAAAATGACTCGTTAAATAATTTCGAGTCGATTTTTCGCGGGAAAACAACAACTTTCCATGACAGAAATTGAAAAAAAAATTTTACTTTCTTTTCATAATATTTTGTTGTTGTAAAAAAGAAAAACTGTCGTAAAAAGTTTTTATTTTAAAATACGACTTTTTCTAAAAAGAAAAAAAAGAAGGATGGTTTCTTTTTTTTTCTCATTTTTCTTTTCCCCCATTTCTTGGTTTTTATAGGACTTGGGCGGTTTGTTGGGCGGGTGTTGGAACTGGACCTGCTGATGATGCGGGCGGTCCAATTGGTCCAAGATCGCCGGCGCCTGTCGATGCATTCGCTGGTGTCGATACTCCCATTGCCGATGCTGTTTTCATGAAGAATTTCTCGAGTTTCACAATTATGTGCTTTCCATATGTGTACTTGCGAAGACTACCCAAATGCGGTCGAATTTTGTGCATTAAAACTTTACGTTGCGCTGGCTCTGCAACGTCAATCATCTTCTGCACCACATAATTTGCGTATTGATCTTTCATCATTACATTCAATGCACTGCAAAATTAAAAAAAACATTTTTTTCATTAAAAACAAAAATTTAATTAAGAAAATTAATTCTATATTATTATTTCTATTAATATACTATTTCTAATTGAACTTGAAATAATATTTTTTTTTTCCCCGATAAAAATAATAATATTCCACCCCCCCCCCCCAAAAAAACATTAATTCATTAGTTAGTTAATCTTTAACGACCTATTTAAAAATGTTCCAAATATAAATTTGGAAATTCGAATTTCGAAGAATTGAAAACTTGAACTGTTTTATATTTTATAAATAAAATGAAAACATTAGATTTTGTTTTATTTATATAAAATAGAAAATAAAACAGTTCAGTTCTTCAAAATTCCAAATTCCAAATTTTTATTTGGAAAAGTTTTAATAATAGTTGTAGAGAATATTTTTGAGTATGATCAATTTTTATTATATTAAAATTAACCTAGCAAAACTTATTAAAAATTTAATTAATTTAATTTTAATAATATAATTATTTTATATAATAATTTTAATAATACTTTTACTTCAACTAATTTTAAGACAACAAATTAAATTCTTTCAAATATAGGTACAATTTATTACAATTAAATTTTATAAAAAATTTTATTGTTTTAATTTTTAAAAAAATTTTTGTAAATTCAATTATTTTCAAAAAAAAATGTAAGTACACAATTATTCAAAAACCTAATTTGTTTGAAGAATTATTAAATTAAAAATTAAAAACTAAATTAAATTATTCAAAAAATCAATAACTTTTGTTTAAAAAATATTTAAAAACTTATTATTATGTATTTCAGTTAAAATTCCAAATAATTCCAAAGTAAAATCTTTTGAAATTTAATTATTTCTAATATTCAATTATTTTTCAAAATTTTAACTCAAATTCTTTTTTAAATCAATTTTCAATAGAATTCAACGATAATTGAATTATTGAAATAAATAGAAAAATTTCTTGTAAAATTTAATTATTTTCCAAATTTTTAGTTGCAATTCTTCAAAAAAATACAATAATATTATGGAAAATAATTTTTCAAAGCGAGAAAATAGAATTTATTTTATGTTTATTTGAGGAAATTTCCCATCTTTCCAATATTTTAAAATTATTTTCAGAAATTCAACTGTTTTCAAAAAATTTTAATTACGATTTTTTAAAAACCTCATTATCTCAGAATTTCTAAATAAAATTTTTCAAATTTCATTAATTTTTGTTATACAAATATATTTAAAAACTTATTGTTATTTTCTCTTGAAAAGATTTTCAACAAAAAATTTCAAAATAATTGAATTAATTAGAAGAATTTTATTATTAATGAAAATAATTGAATTCCTTAGAAGAATTTTATTATTTATGAAAATAATTGAATTCTTGACAAGAATTTTTTTAAAAATTTTGAAAATCCTAATTAAATTCTTTTGAAGAATTTCCTTGAATTTTTTGAAAATAATGAAGTTTCTTTAATAAATTCAATGAAAAGTTTTGAAAGTAATTGAATTTTAAGAACAATTTCTTTAAAGTTTTTTTTAAATAATCGTGTTTCTTAATAATTGAAATTAAACATTTAATTATTGGATTTTATCAAAATTTTTAGAAAATAATTTAATTCTTCTCAGAGTTTTATTACAATTTTCTAAAAAAAATTAATTCATTCAAGGAATTTTTTTCAAAGAATTTTTTTGAACTTTTGAAAATAATCGTGTTTGTTAAAAATTATAATTAAATATTTGAAGTTAGTTAATGAAGTTTATTAAAATTGTATTGAAAATAATTGAATTTTTACCAAAAAATATAAAAAATAATTGAATTCTTGCGAAGAATTACATTAAAATTTCTTGAAATATTAACAGTAATAATTAATTACGCATTTAATATGTGAATTTTTAAAACTTATGATTATGAAATTATTCAACAATTTATTGAGAAAATTTCCTATTTTTTCAATGTTTTTAAATTATTTTCTGGAATACAACCATTTTCAACAAAATTTTAATTACAATTTTTTAAAAATCTAATTTTGCAGAATTTATAAGTAAAATTATTTAAATTTAATTAATTTTTGTTCAAAAAATATTCTAATATTTATTGATATTAATTTGTCCACTAGGAATTAAAATTCCAAAATACTTTCAGTGTAAAACTTTTTGAAATTTTATTATTTCTAAAAATTTAAATTGCAATTTTTGAAATATTTTCTAAAATTGTAACTGAAATTCCTTTTCAATTCAATTCTTATAAAAAAAGTTAAAGGAGAATTCAATTATTTAAATACAAAAATAAGTAATAAAATAGAATAAATTGACTTTTTCTAAAAATTACAACTTTAACTCAAACTAAAAATTTGGTTTTAATCGAAAATTAAGAATTAAGAAATTTTGTTTAATTAATTTTTAAAAAATCTGACTGCAGGTACAATTTGTGGAAAAATATTATTGGCCAGGTTACCCTGAAAAACGTGATTTTTTTCAATACATTTTATTTATAGTACAAAAAATGTTAATTATTAATTTTTTTTACATATTATACTTCATACATGAAATTACTCTAAAAAAAATTTTTTTTTTTCAAAATGGCCCGAAACAGTAAGCCTATCTTCGGGAAATCCTTTCTCTTTATTCTTTTCTTGTTCTTCTTTAGCCGCTTTTTTAAAAACTACTTCACTGACAGCTTTCATTGCAATATAAACTTGCTCCATGCATTTATAATAGCCATGTATACTCAATGCAGTTGCTGAGATGTCCATCAGTCCACAAAAATTTATTAAGCCATAAAATCCAACTCCTAACAAGCGCATTGCATAAACAATTCTTCTGTTTATTTCACAACCACTTTTGATTTTTGGAGATGAAGGGATTGGTTCACTCTCCTCACAACCGCAGATAATTTGTAAATCAAAACCTAATCCTTTTTCGACACTTTTTGCAAATTCCACTTTTTTTTACACTTTGCACAAACAACTCTCTGTTGCAATGTAGCAAATACAGACCACTGAACGATCACGTAAGTCAGCAACGGATGGATTTTCACTTCAAATTGAGGTTCGGCGTTTTTCAGTTTTTTTGCAGCAACACTGGTTTGTTCTGTATCATCATTTGAAGTATGTTGATTACCCAAAAAACTCCTTCTTGATTTATGTGGGACACCACTTTTTCTTTTTCTGTCCATGATAAATTTTGAAAGCACACAAACGAAAAATTTACCGACGCGTGCGAGGACTGAAGCGAACAACCATCACCAACGAAATTTTCACTTGTACTGCCGTATATTATACACAAAGGACCCTCTCTAACTGTAAAGGACAGAATATTTTCTAGAAATAGAAGGAAACAAAACAATAAGACGATCCGAAGGGACGTAGCAGCTGTTCAGAGTAACCTGGCCTTAAAATTTAAATTTGTTATTAAATATTATTTAACTTTTTGCTTTTTGATAATTAGTGAATAATATTGTAAATTGTATCCAATTTTTACGAACAATAACTCATTATGATCTTAAATACATTAGTCAAAATTTTGTTTCTTGTAAATATTTTCATATTTTTTATTCTAAAATAATTGATAATTATAAAAATTATAGGAATTATAGGAAAAAGAAATATTCTTAAACTAAACTCTACTAAATGAGGTTTATGTGAAATTGAAAATTATACTTACCATCTAAACGTTATGATTTATTAAGTTATTATTAAACAGAGAATAAAAGATTTTAGTGTGTATTCTAAATATAAAAAAATCCTACTTTCAAAAAAATTATTTTGACGTACTAAAGTATTTTTTGCAAAACACTCCAGTAAAAAATTATTTAAGAAAATATTAAATATTATTAAAAAAAGGTTTAAAAAATTTGCATAATTTATTCTTTCTTAATCACGATTTTTAGAAATAAATTTTAAAAAATTGTCTAATGCTATTCTATAAAAATAAAATAAAAAATTTAAATGTCTATTTTTAAAAAAGATCCAGTTATCAATTTTTCTGAAGAAATTATTCGATTTTTTAAAATTTTGTGGCATCAATTTGAACCTATTAAATACAAAAATTGTGTAATAGGTAAAAATTATAAAATTTTTATTATAAAATTATAAAATTTTTAGTTTGTGGTTATTTCTATTTTCTATCAGTTGAAAAATCTAAATGAAAACAAATTTAATTTATTACATTATAGAAAATAAACAATTCTTCGCAGTAATAAAAAGTCAGACAATTTTCACATTCTACTGATGTAATTGCCGAAAATTTATTGTGTGTAAAGAAATTGTAAATCACTTTTAAAAAAAAATAAAAAGTTTTGGAATTTTCTGAAAACAGCTTGAAACGACTTTCGAGTGAAAATAAAATAAAATAAAATGACCTATATAATTCCGTTTTCGAAAAACAACTTAACGGAACAACAACAACTCGTACTCAATACAAATTGAATTGAATAAAATGTGTGCGGCTGCGGCTTACTAAAGGAAACTGTCGATGTGACAATGAAATGCGATAATACTGTTCCCTGGTTATAATAGATACATATTTATAATAAAAGGCATATACAAACTTGTCATTAAATCCGCAAACTTCTTCAATGAGTACAGCACGTTCCTGTCTTGTAGCATGTGTCACACATTTCTCAACCACGTTGCTCGCAAATTTGTGTTGTGAAAGTGCCAAAACTTTTCCTCTTACGCTGCTGATTAATTGCGCCTTATCTTCTGGTTTACCATGTTCTAAGAGGGGAAAAAACAATTGTTTTAGTTCATTATTCATTCTTTAATTAGAACTTATGTAAAAAATTTTATAAAGTCCTTCTACTTTGTATTAAAACATATTTTACGAATTATATTACTAAAAACAAAAAATTAGGCAACAGAAATATTTTTAAAAAGATTTTTTAAATATTTTAAATAACTGAACTAAATTATTTATATCTTTAAAGAAATCATCATTGAACTTTAATAAAAATTTCTTTGACTATTAATAGCAAATGGAACCATAATTTTTGAAAATAATCTATTTTTTAAATAGGTAAACACCTACTTTAAAAATAAAATTACAATGACGATTATTTTCAAAAATTTCAAAAAAATGTTTAAAATGAAGATAAATTATATTTTTAACAAATTAAGGCAATGAATAAAAAATATATTTACCCCGACCTTTCGAAATCTAATTGATTTGAATTATTACAAGTATTTTAAATTATTTGTTAATAAAAATTCAATTATCTTTAAATAATAAAATAAAAATATTTGAAAAACCTAACTTTTTTAGAATTTTAAATAGAAATTCCTTACTTTTCATTGATTTCTAAATTCAATTATTTAAAACTACAATAATTTTGTTAAATAAATATTTAAGTAGGTACTTCTTATTTGTTTTTTCATGGGAAATAAAATTTAAAAAATTTCAGTATAAAACTTTCAGAAATTTAATAATTTCTAAAAATTACAACTATTACCCTTCCAAAATTATTTTATTTTATACAATTTTTAACTATACTTCATTAACAAATCAATTATCTTTAATAATTTTCCGAATCTTATTCAAGAATTCAATTAATTAAATACAAAAATTCAATTTTTTATTATAATTGTAACTGTCTATAGTTTTTTTAAATTACTAAAGTATTTTATTTAGTGTAAAGACGGGCTTACATTACAAAAATTGTAATAAATAAATTCTTAAAATTAACTTTTAAAAATATTTTTGAACAATTTTTGACATATAAAATTTTTAAACAACTGAAAAAATTTCTAAATAATTGAAATTTGTAAAATCTTTCAAAAATAATTAAACTTTTAAAAAATGAGTCTAACAAAATAAATTTAAAAAATTTTAATTTACTTTGTTCTAAGACAATTGAATCTTAAAAAATTATTGTAAGAAAATTCTAAGAATTTATTTTTTAAAAATATTATAATGTAATCTTTCAGAAATAATTGAATTTCTTAAAAGAATTTTTGGATAATTTCAAAAAAGAAAATTAAATCTTTGAAGAATTTGAATTAAAATTTTCGAAAATTGAAAATAATGAAAATAATTGAATTTTTTAAAAGTAATAATAAAAAAAATTTAAGAATTACTTTTTTTAAAAATATCTAAATATAATTTTTAAAAGCTAATTCTCATTAATTTTCATTTTTCAAATTTCCACTTGAAAAGTTTTCATTAAAATATTTGAGAATTCAATGATTTTCAAAATTTGCAAGTAAAATTCTTCAAGAATTGATTTTCAAAAATTTTATAAGTATACTTGAAAAAATCATTTATTTCAAATTAAATTTTACAAAAAATTTTTTAACATATTTTAAAAATTTTATTTTATCTTAAAAAATGATTCGAAAATAATTTTTAAAAAATTTCTCTGGTTATTTTTATTTTCCATTATATAAAAATCGAAATAATTTTCATTTTATACTAAAATGTGGTATTTTGTTGCAATATTTAGAAGAAAAGTCGAAAGAGTGACAATTTTTGTATATAATTCGAAAAAAATCGAAAAAGTCATAATATCCAAGGCCTAAAAGCGATTTTGATTTCTAATAAAATTCTTTAACAATTTACTTTCTCAGAATTCAATTAATTTTTATAATTCTTAAAATATTTTGTTTCAATTCGAGTAACTTTAAAAAACTGTATTAAAATTTCTATTTCTTCAGAATTTTAATCATTTGAAACTTAAACAATTTTTAAATAAACAATTAACATTATTTTTAATTATCTCAAAATAATTGAAATTTTCAAAAATTTCACTTTAAAAAGTTCTGAAATTAAAGAAATATTTGCTTACGAAAATATCACAAACGACTATTTCCTTCTTTTTAACTTTTAGACTACTTTTTAATTTTAAGAAATTTCAATTATTGCAAAAATTTCCAATTATTTGTTTATAAAAGTTCAATTATTTTTAAATGATAGAATTTAGATTTTAAAAAACCTTATTTTTAAAAAATTTTAAACAGAATTTTCCAAAACTTCATTTTCTTAAAAAAAATATCAAGTTTGGATCTTATTAAAATTTTAATTGTAACTCTTTCGAAATTAAATGATTTTAAATGCAATTTGGATTTCTAATAAAGTTCTTTAACAAATTTAATTATTTTCAATTCAATTTCAAAAAATTCAATTATATTTTTAATTAGTTAGGAAAATGTTTTTAAAAATTCAAATAACTTTAAAAAACTGAATTAAAATTTCTCAAAAATCTATTTTTTCAGAATTCAAAAGAAAATGATTAAAAACTTAAATAATTTTAAGATAAATAATAATATTCTTAATTTCTTTAAATTGAATGGAATTTTAAAAAAATGGTTTAAAAACTTGTGAAATTCAATAAAATTCTACTTTCAACGTTAGTAAAATTTATTCTAAAATTAGTAAAAGTTGACATAAATAATTCTAAACAGTTACGGTTTTACTTTGTAAGTAGCAAAAGTTATTTATATTTGTTGCCTTGTATAAAAGAATCCAAGTGAAAAAACTCTGAGAAAATAATATAAAAAGATTTTTAAGTTTCAAAAAACTAAGATTTCCAAAGTTTGCAAAGAGAATTTTTTTTCTTTAAAATTTGTTTTTTAAAAAATTGTCTTTTTTGTAAATTTAAAAAAAAATGGAAAAGAGGAAGAACCCTTTTTTCCACAAAATAACTAAACATTTGTTTTGCAAAAAATGGCAACTTTTTGTAAATTTTTCCAAGAAAAAGGGGAAAATATACGTGATTTTAAGTGTTTTGAGGAATTTTATTAATTCAAGGGAAAAAGGAACTAACTATGATCCCTAGAATCCATTTTTTAAAAAGTGATTGAAATATAATGAATTGACCCTTTTATTTAATATGTTTTACAAATTAGACGACATTTTCTAGAAAGAAAAATACGTTCGCTAAATTTTATCCTGCAGTATATGTAGTTAAATGTCGATGAAAAAAATGAACTTGAAATAAAAATCAACACTAACTTGAAATTAAATTTAAAAACAGTAAAGTTAAAATGAAAAATCTCGTTTGTAAAATAAAAAATAATATACGCACCGAGAACATGTTGAATAACATAATTTCCATATTGATCTTGAATGAGTTGATCAGTCGCCGAGTGTAATTCTTGAAGAATTCCTTGTGTCTGCTCCGGCGTGCAATGCTCCAAAATACGTTGAATCACTCTACATCCATAAGGATGTGTACTCAGAGAATAAACCTGTCCAGCGAATGCTCCAATAACAAACTGTAAAGCTCTTGGCTCAACACATTCAATGCACTTTTGCACAACATGATTTCCATTTTGATCCTTAACACACTTAAGGACATGTCCATCCAGCTCGCGAACAATTTCCTGTTGTTGCTCCGGTCCAATAGATTCAAGTGCCTTTTGAATAACGCGACACCCATACATTTGCAAAGCCAATGGTAGAACATGACCTCGCACCTACAAGAAAAATTCCACTTTAATTCAAATTTTGCAAAGAGAGTATCAAAATTAAGACAGAAATAGTGACAAAATTAGTTCAGATATAGCTTTCAATGACATCAATTTTTCGGTCAGTTGACACGCAAGATTCATCAGGAAAGATTTTTTCAAATTTCATCCAAAAACAATTATTTTTCAAAAAATAACGAAAATATTAGCGTCGACACTGAGCATCAAAAACAATTTTTTTTTCATCGAAAAGAAATTTCAATCCAAAGAAATGCAAAAATTGTTTCAAAGCTTTAACAGGGTTGCCAGGCTTTTGCTCTTTTCAAATTCCCTGACTTTTCCAGGTTTTCCAGGTTAAAAAACGGAATTTTTCCAGGTTTTTAAAACTACATTTATATTTTACAAAATTAAATAATTTCAATAAATTTTTACAAGTACATGGAACTTTCATATAATACTGTATTCCGCATTTATTTATCTATTTTAAATAAATATTTAGTTATTGTTTTTCCATAGGAATTAAAATGACCGACTGATAAAATCATTATTTTATATTATAAGAATATTGTTACTGTAATTTATTCAAAATTACTTTCATCACTTCAATTTCATTATTGTTTTCCAAAATATTTAACTAAAAATCTTCTTTAAATTAATTATTTTAAATAACTTTTGAAAAACTTCTTGAAAATTTTCAAATCCGTTTGTTTAAAATTTAATTTTACGAAATTACATCGATTATTCGGAAATCCTTCCGTAAATAAATATTAAAAAAAAATAAAAACTTCAAATAACTGAAAAAAATGCAATTAAACTTTTTCAGAAAAATTAAATCTACACAATTTTTAGTTGAAAGTATGAAAAATTCAAACATCCAAAGATTATAATTTAAAACCTTAATTTCAAAATTCAATTAGTAGAAACGACTATTTATTAGTAAAATCTGCTAATTCAAAAGCAAAAATTCAGTCACTAATTCAAATTAGAAAACATTTTTACTAATTCAAATTTAGAGAGTTTAATATTAAATTATTATCTAAAATTTGAACTGAAATTCATATTTAAATAAATTTTTATTAGAAAATTTTACTAGAATTCAATTATTCAAATACAAAATTAAATAATTTATTGAACAAATGAATGTTTCTTAAAATTCAATTCCCATAAAGAATTTTATCAACAAATTTTTAAATAATTTAATTCTTTCGACGAATTTTTATAAAATTCTTAAGAATAATTACATTTTTCGAAAAATTCGATTAAAATTGTCTTAAAAATAATTGAAAATTCCGCGATGAGTTTTACGATTTGTGAAAATAATTGTAATCGCTAAGAAGAATTTTATTATTTTTAACAATATTTAATTTTTGCAAAGAATATTATTACTTTTGATAATAATTGAATTTCTGCAATAATTTGTAACTTTTCGAAAATTAAATTTTTTTTCGTGTTTTTAACTAAAATTTTTCTGTAAATGCATTATTTTTAATAATTTTTGAAAAAGTTCTTTGAAAATTTTCAAATTCATTTGTTTACAATTCAATTTTACAAAATTTCAATTATTTGTAAATTCTTCAACTAAATAATATATATATATATTAGGAAATAAAAACTTGAAATAATTTCAAAATAAAATCCGCAATTAAATTTTCTCAAAAAAATTAATTCCACAGAACTGTTATTTTAAAATATGGAAAATTCAGATTTTCAAAGATTTTAATTTGAAACCTTTTCAAAATTCAATTATTTAAATACAAAAAAAAATATTAATTGAATAATTACATATTTTTGAAATTAAATTCTCATAAAGAATTTTATAAAAATATTTTTAAATAATTAAATTATTTTGACGAATTTTAATACAATTTGTAAGAATAATGATATATTTTTCGAGGAATTCGATTAAAATTGTATTAAAAAATAATTGAAATTCTGCAATGAGTTTTATTTTTATTATTTATGAAAATAATTGAATTCCTAAAAAGAATTTTATTATTTACGAAAATAATTGAAACCCGCTGTAAAAATTTAATTATTTATGAAAATAATTGAATGATTGCGAAGAAATTTATAAAAAAATTTCAAATAATTGAATTCCTGTGAAATTTTTATTATTTTATGAAAATAATTAAAGGTTTGCGTAGAATTTTATTAAATTTTTTAATAATTGAATTCTTTTGGCCAATTTTATTAAAATAGTAAATATTAGAAATCATTGATTGAGGAAAATTTTTGAAAATAATTGAAATTTTGCCACGAATTTTATTAAAATTTTTGAAAATAATTGAATTTCAGAGAAGAGTTGAATTATTTCTAAAGATAATTGAAATTTTAACGTGAATACTAAAATTCAATTATTCAAAGACAAAAATAAATAATTTATTGAACAATTGAATGTTTTTTAAAATTGATTTCTTATTTAAAGAATTTTATCAACAAATTTTTAAATAGGTAATTAAAATTCTTTTGACGAATTTCAATAAAATTTTTAAGAATAATTTCATTTTTCGAGAAATTAGATTAAAAATGCATTAAATATAATTGAATCTCTGTAAAAAAAATTTGAATAAATGGAGAAAAGTTTTTGAAAATAATTGAAATTTTGGCAAGAATTTTATAAAATTTTTGAAAATAATTGAATTTTGGAGAATAATTACATTTTTCGAGAAATTCTATCAAAATTTGTATTAAAAATAATTGAAATTTCCGCGATGAGTTTTATTATTTATGAAAATAATTGAAAACCTATAAAGTTTTTTATTATTTATGAAAATAATTGAATCTCTGTAAAAATTTTGATTATTTATGATAATAATTGAATTATTGCGAAGAAAAATTGTAAACGCAACTCTTTTAAAATTTAATTAATTTTGAGATATTTAAGAAAAATTCGATTTCAAGAATAAGCACAATAATTTTAGAAAACAATAATTTTCCAGGATTCTGATCAAAATTCCCCGACTTTTTCAGGTTTTTCAACTTTTACAGGTTTTCCAGGTTTTCAGGTTGCGTGGCAACCCTGTTTAAGGATAAAAAGTGGTTTTCTAAATCCCAAATTGAATGAAAAAAAGTGAAATGAGTGACATTTTTATCCCTAAAAATCGCAAAGAATCGACGCTAGTTTCAGGGGCCTAGAATATTGTTAAATATTTGAATTATTATAGTACAGAATAAAAGTTGAATTTTAAGAAATAAAAATGGAAAAATAGAGATTAAACGTTGTTATTGTACCTTTTGCGCTAGAGTTGATTTTTGTTCGGGTGTCCCAAATTCGAAAAACTTTTGAATGACATAGTTGCCGAATACATCAGTCATGAGGGAGTATGCTGAGGCAAGAATTTCTTGAAAGACAAGTTGCTTTTCACTAGTAGAAGCACGTTCCAATTTTTGTTGTATAAAACGCGAACCATGTTGATCCTGACTAAATTCTACTATATGATTGGCCAAGTCACGCAATTGTAAACTTGGAAACCTGAAAAATAAATCGCGAGGGTTAAAAAATTATTTTTTTCAATTTTCAGTCCAGGAGAAATAGTGGACAAAAGTATAGTAAATAGTAAATAAAGAATATAGAACAATTAACCATAATAATCTACGTTTACTTCATTATTCTTCTTTTATATTTACTTCATATTCTTTCATTTTTTTTCTGTTTGTCCACATTTTAAAGTTGGTTTTTGTGTAAGCTTTTGATTTTTTTTTTCTTTTAAATGTATTGTTTGACAAATCGAAAATAAGGCATTTTTTATGATTTATAATAAAATAATATTAGAAATTTTTACAAAAATTACGATTAATAATTAAAAAATATACTCATTTTGGGGAAGAGATAAATCACCTATTATTTCGAAAGTCCTCGAGCAAACGTGATCTTCCTCCCGTGCTTTTTTCACCGACACCACTAGCACCGCCTCTGCCGGGCTTGCCAACCAAATTGGGAAACAGAGAACTACTAGATCCAAAAACACCATTTGCTGTGAGAGTTGGAACAGTGCTTGTTCGGAATTTCGCCTCTGCTCCTGGTGCAGCAGAAACTCTGTTTGTTCCCCCAACTAAACCGCCTAAGGAGCCACCGATTGATGGTGGAGGTGTCAGAGACAATCCCAAAGGACTCGGAGACGCTGTTACTGTTCCTGTTAATGTTCAAAAATAAAACAACAATTTTAAGCAAATTTCCTTTGTATTTTTTTATTTTAATTCTTATAAAATTAAACCGAAATCAATTTTTCAAGATTGCTATACGCTTTTCAGAACATTATTTTCAAAACTCACTAAACTATAATATATTTAAACATAATAAATTAACTGTAATAATCGTCTTATTCATTCTGTCCACACCTGAAGTTAGTTTTTGTGTATTCTTTTGTTTTTTTCTTTAAAAAAAATTTTTTTTGACAAATCGAAAATATGCAGGTATTTTTTCAAATAATATTAGAAATTAGAAAATTTTAAAAAAATGATGATTAATAAATAAAAAATTTACCCGAACAAATTTCGTTTGACTGATCTAAATTATGCAAATTTTTCTCTTGTTTATTTATAAAAAATAGAAAATTTGTTAAAAAATTATGATATTGAAAATAATTGAAATTAGGACAAGAATTTTATTGTCCTTTTTGAAAATAATTGAACTTTGGGGGAAAATTTTGTTATTTACAAAGATAATTTTGAAAATAATTGAATTTCTGCAATAAATTATTTGCAATTTCACCAAAATTGAATTATTTTAATATTTTCAACAAAAATTTGAATTTAAAATTTTTAAATTCTATTATTTTTAAAATTTATAATTTTATTTAAAAAATGAAGTAAAAAATTAGCCGCGCGCTTTGACGCGCGAATTGTTGCTAATATAATAATAATAATAATAATAATAATAATAATAATAATAATAATAATAATAATAATAATAATAATAATAATAATAATAATAATAATAATAATAATAATAATAATAATAATAATAATAATAATAATAATAATAATAATAATAATAATAATAATAATAATAATAATCGCGAAATTCTGTCCTCACATGAATTTAGAGCTCTTTGATTGTAAATTGTTTTACAGCCTAAATTATCGTGTCAAAAGTTTTTTTTTTTTTAAATATTTTTCATTTTATTTATTATTTATTTTCATTTTATTTATTATTTATTTTCATTTTATTTTTCAATTCATTTTCAATAATTAATTTGTAAATATGTAGAATGATTAGTGTTTTAGTGAAATTAATTCCTCTTGAATTTTGACAATAACAGTATTTTCACAGGACAGTAAGTAAGGAAATTTTAACCAACGTATTCAATAAATATTAAATTATTGAAAATCTTAAATATTCTATGAATATTTTTTTCTCAAAAATTAAAAAAAATCCACATTACAGTTGCAATTTGTAGAAGTAATCAATTATATTATTACTTATTTTCGTATTTAAATCCTAATTGAAGTCTCTTAGAACTTTTTAATAAAAATTGATTAGAAAAAGAATTTCAATTAAAATTTTAGAAAATATTCCAAGAATTGGCAGAATTGCAGTTCTAATTATTAGAAATAATTAAAGTTCAAAAGATTTTGTGCATTGAAAGTATTTTGAAATTTTCATTCCCGGTGGACAAATAAATAATAACAAATGTCAAATATTTATTAAACGAAAATTTAATGAAGTTTGAAAAAAATGATTTAGAAATTCTGAAGAAATAAAGTTATTAAAAAAATCGTAATTAAAATTTTTTCGAAAATAGTTCAATTCCCGAAAACAATTTTTAAAAAATTTAAAAATAGAAAATTTTCTCAAATTTTATATTTCAAAGAATTTTATTTTATATTTCGAAGAATTTTATTTTCTCACTCTTTAAAAATATTATTTTTAAATATTATTGTATTTTTTGAAGAATTGAAACTAAAAATTTGAAAATAATTAAATTTTACAAAAATTATTATAGGTACCTACTATTTAAATAATTCAATTTTCGTTGTTGAATTCAGGATAAGAATTAATTTAAAAAAGAATTTCAGTTAAAAATTTGAAAAATAATGGAATATTAGAAGCGTTATAACAGAAATTTTAATTTTAAGAAATAATTAAATTTAGCAAGGTTTTTAAATTGAAAGAAATCTTTTTAACAGCTTTATGGCCGTAAAAATTGACTAATATTTAAATGTTTAATTAAAAAAAATTATTAATCTAATATTTTTCATTACAATTTGTTAAAGTTTTGAATAATTTTATTCCAAAATTCTAAAAAATAATTGACTTTTGAAAAAATAACAGTTGTAATTTTAAAAAATAATTAAATTTCAAAAGGTTTTACATTGAAATTTCAATTAAAACAAATAATAGGTAATAAGTTTTTATTTGTTTAAAAAAAATTATTTGAAGTTTTAAAGTCCACTGGTCAGTTCCAAAAACTTTCTTTTAATTGAAATTTAATAAAAATTTACTATATTTTAAAAAACATAATTTTTCGAAATATAATTTTTCAAAAATACGATTATACTTGAAAGCAATGTTAAAAAGATAAAAAATTAAATTCTTTCAAATCTAAAATTTATTTCAAAGAAATTTGACTAAACTTTTAATTGTTGAGTCAAAACGCGTCAACCGTGAATAAAATTTTTTTATAATTTTGGAAAAGTCAAAACATTTATGAAAGTCTGTAGTTCACAGCAAACGAAAAAAACACTTTTAACCGTTTTTCAAAATTTTAAATATTTATACCTTTTTTTATAATAAAAAATTTTTGCATTCTAGCAAAACAGTAATGAGTTATTAATTTTTTTCTTAATTAAATAATGCAAAAATTTTTTATTATAAAAAAAGGTATAAATATTTAAAATTTTGAAAAACGGTTAAAAGTGTTTTTTTGGTTTGCTGTGAACTACAGATTTTTATAAATGTTTTGACTTTTCCAAACTTATAAAAAAATTTTATTCACGGTTGACGCGTTTTGACTCTGTTTCAATTTGAAAATTTTTTTTCGGGAATTAAAATTTCAAAATACTTTTAAAACATTTTGAAAATTACTTTTTTCTAAAAATTACAACTGCAATTTTTCCAAAAGTAAACTATTTTTTTTTTTTGAATTTTTAAATAAAATTATTCAAAAATTTCATAAATTTTAAAGAAAATTATATTAATAATTTTTTTAAAAAGACGACATTTAAATATTATTCAATTTTCACGGCGATGAAAATGTGAAAAAGATTTCTTTCAATTTGAAAACCTTATAAAATTTAATTACATTTTTAAACTCTTCTTATATCGCTACTAGTATTCAATTATTTTCCAAATTTTTGTCTAAAATTGTTTTTTAAATCAATTCTTATAAGAATCCAACGATAATTGAATTATTTAAATCCAAATTTCTTGTAAAATTGAATTATTTTCCAAATTTTTAGTAACAATTCTTCAAAAAATACAATAATATTTAAAAATATTTTTTTTTAATTTTTTTTTTTAATTTAAAAATTGTATTTTTTAGTATTTACTAAAATTTCTGTTAAAACTTTTCAAATGTTAAATTATTTTCTAAAATTTTAACTGAAAATTTTTTTAAATCAATTCCTATCAGAATTCAACAACAATATTTAAATTAAATATACAAACTTTTTTGAAAAATGTTCTTATTTTCTAAAGTTTCAGTAACAATTCTTCAAAAATACAATAATATTTTAAAAAAATATTTTTAAAGAGTGAGAAAGTAAAATTCTTTGAAATAATATAAAATTTATTTTAATGAAATTTGAGAAAATTTCCTATTTTTTCAATTTTTTAAAATTATTTTCGGAAATTTAACTGTTTTCAAATAATTTAATATTCCGATTTTTTAAAAACCTCATTTTTCAGAATTTCTAAATAAAATTTTTCAAATTTCATTAATTTTTAATTAACAAATATTCGAATACTTATTGTTATTTATTTATCCACCGGGAATAAAAATTTCAAAATACTTTCTATGTAAATGCTTTTGAAATTTAATTATTTCTAATAATTAAAACTGCAATTCTGCCAATTCTTGAAATATTTTCTTAAATTTTAACTAAAATTCTTTTTTTCAGAAAATTGACAATTTTTTTCTGAAATTGATTTTTCAAATCAATTCTTATCAAAAAGTTTTACGAGTCTTAAATTATTCAAATACAAAAATTAGTGATAAAATAATTTATTGTTTCTAAAAATTGCAACTATAACTCTACTTATCGATTTTTTTTTTAATTTGAGAAAGAAAATTCATAGAATATTTAAGATTTTCAATAATTTGATATTTTTTTAAACAAAATTTTCTCCTTACTTTACGTCTTTACTGTTCTGTGAAAATCCTGTTGTTATTATTAAAACTCTAGGAAAATTAATTTCACTAAAACACTAATTACTCTATTCAAAATTAATTGTCAAACTTTTGACGTGAAAATTTGAACCGTAAAACAAATTTGAAAATAAAAAGTCCATCTTCACTTGAAGGCAAAATATCTCGATTATTATTATATAATTAATAATTAATAAAAAATTAATAATTAATAGTTGATTAATTAATTTGTTTAATAAAATGTTTATAAAAATAATGCCTGAAAAGTTTCAATATTTTTTTTCTGTATTTGAGTCAAATCCTTAAAAGAATTAAAGTAAATATTTCATATCGCTGAAGTAAGCGTCGACGCTTAACGTCAAAAACTATTATTTGGAATGTTCAGAGACGAAAATGTCACTAATTTATTTCTTTCATTCACCTAGAGTCTTAAAAGATTTTTCAGGGTACTTTTCTAATTTTATTTCTAACCTGAAACTTCTAAAAAAAATTCTGATTCTTTTCTCTTTCACGAATAAAATGTTTTTCGACTCTCAGCGTCGACGCTAACTTCAGAAACTTAATATTTATTTAAAAAAAATTACGAAAATTTTGTTTTCATTTTCTTTTATCATAAAGTTTTTATTTTAATTTTTCTTTTATTTCGTAGGTTTCTCCTGTCTTCCTCATTGGATTTTCTATGGTTCCATAGATTTTTTTCTCTTTCCCATTTTTCGTTTTTTTTAAATAGAAAATTCCCTTCGACATTTTTTTAAAAAGATTCTCAAAGAAATTCAACAAATTATTTTATTCTGGCTTTTAACCTAAAATTTTTTTTATTCTTGAATTAATTTCTAAAAAAATATATTTTTTTTAATAATCTCTGTGATTTTTAAGATTATAAAAAAAAATCTTTTTTATTCTTTAAAAATCAGAAATAATGAAAGTTCTGACAAATATTTAAAAAATTTCCATGATCCCCTTTTTTAAAAAAAAAAAAAGTCCCTATTATTCTCGTTTTTTCCCACATGTGTTGTTCGTTTCAGAGGGATAATGCGATTAAAAACTTGACTTCGGTTTTATGAGAGGAGATTTGTAGAATATTAAAAAAAAAAAAGAAAAAAAAGAAAAAGATTAAATAACTTACCGAGAGCGCCATAACTTTGAGGCCATTTAGCACGACTGTATTCTAAGCTAGGGCTGAATGCTGATGTATTTCTATCAAAAGAGTCCCTTCTTCCTGTGGATGATGTGCTGAGACCTAATCCTGAAAAAGGATTTTAATCATTGAAATTGAAACAGAACATTTCTTCGTACATTTTAGTAAATCAAAAAGAGCATTTTTTTTCTTTTTGACAAAATAACGCATGCCACACTTTCTTTACAATTATATTTACAAAAATAGATTTTCACTATTTTGTTTGTATATTTTATATATTTTATATATTTTATTATTGCACTATTGTACATTGTCATTCAAGAAAATTTTAAAATTAGATTCATATAAATTTATTGACGGGAGAATGTTTCGCTCTTATTTCATCTCTAAAAACTAAAATTCTTCTTCAATGTGAATTGCAATAAAAACAGAAATTGATAGGTACATAAAAAATAAAAGCATACTTGTCATTTTGTTTGTTTAGTACACGTTGAATGGGGCGAATGTTTCGAAGCAAAATAAACAGAACAATTCTTTTAAATTATGCATTCTTTTTCAAGAAAAAGAATAATAGAAATATTTTTTCTATTTTTTTACTAAACAGATCAATATAATTAATTTTATAATTTCTGCGAAACGAACAATTTAATTTATTATTATTAGGCATATTATGAAAAATTATTCATTTTCAAAAACCAATTTCAATTTTTGAATAATTTCAGAATCGCATTATTTAAAAATTCGGTTATTAACTAATTAAATATTTGAATTTTCCCGGAATATTAATTATTATTGTATATTATAGTGAAAATTTTTTAATAAAATTCTTCAGAGGAATTCAATTATTTTGAATATAATTTTAATAAAATGTCTCCAAAGGTATTCAATTATTTTTTTTATAGAATTGTAAAAAAATATCTCCAAAGAATTCAATTACATATTTCAATAAATATTGAAATTCTTCGCAGGAATTCAATTATTTTGAATATAATTTTAATAAAATTTCTCGGAAGAATCAAATTTTTTAAGCAAATAATTGAAATTCTTGTTAAAATTAACACAAAATGAAATTTTGCTATAGAATTTAATTATTTTAATAAATATTCAAATTTAATTTTGTTAAAATTATTTCCAAAAATTTATCGAAAGAATTTAATTTTTTCAATTTATATTAAAATTCTTCGCGTGAATTCAATTATTTAAAATGTATTTTTAATGAAATTTCGCGATAGAATTTAATTATTTTAATAAATATTCAAATTTAATTTTGTTAAAATTGTTTCCAAAAATTTATCGAAAGAATTCAATTTTTTCAATTTATATATTATAAAAATTCTTCGCGTGAATTCAATTATTTAAAATGTATTTTTAATGAAATTTCCCGATAGAATTTAATTATTTCAATAAATATTCAAATTTAATTTTGTTAAAATTATTACAAAAATTATTCTCAAAATTTTAATTAGAAAAGAATTAAATTATTTTTATGAAAAATAAAAATCTTCCGAGGAATTCAATTATTTTTCTTAGAATTGTAATAAAATTTCTCCAAAGAATTCAATAAATATTAAACTTTCTGTCAGAAATTCTATTATTTTCATAAATAATAAAATTCTTCAAAGGAATTTAATTATTTTTAAACTATAATTTCAATAAAATTTAAGGAAAGAATCCAATTTTAAAAAAAACTAATTGAAATCTTTGTTGAAAATGTCACAAAAATTATTCTCAAATTTTTGAATAAGAAAAAATTCAATTATTTTTATGCACAATAAAAATCTTCGGAGGAATTCAATTATTTTTCATAGAATTATAATAAAATTTCGCAAAAGAATTCAATTTTTTCAATTAGTGTTAAAATTCTTTGCATGAATTCAATTATTTTAAATGTAATTTTAATAAAAATTTCTCGAAATAATTTAATTATTTCAATAAATATTAAAATTTTTTAGAGGAATTTCATAATTTTGAATAGAATGTTGTCAAAATTTCTCAAAAGAATTCAATTATTTTCAAAAATAATTGAAATTATTTTTCACTAAAATTTATTCAATCCAAAAAAATTTGATATCTTTAATAAAAAAAATGTTATCTTTAAAAATTAAAAAAAATCACATATTAGCAAAAAATTATGGAAAATTAATTAATTTAAAAATATTTTTTGAAACTATTTTTGTTAAAATTATTACAAAATTTATTCTCAAATTTTGTAATTGAAATTATGAAAAATAAAAATCTTCGCAAGAATTCAATTACTTTTGATAAAATTTTAATAAAATTTCTCCAAAGAATTCAATTATTTTCATAAATAAGAAAATTCTTCACAGAAATTCAATTATTTTGAATAGAATTTTAATAAAATTTTTTAAAAGAATTCCATTATTTTAATAAATGTTAAAATTCTTTTTAAGAACTGAATTATTTTAAATATTATTTCAATAAAATTTCTCGAAAGAATTGAAAATAAATATTAAAATTCTTTTGAAGAATTCAATTATTTCAATAAATATAAAAATTTCTCGCAAAAATTCAATTATTTTCATAAAGAAGATAATTATTTAGAGGAATTCAATTATTTCTAATTTTTTAATTAGAAATAATTCAATTATTTTTATGAAAAATAAAAATCTTCTCAAGATAAAAAAAGGAATAAATAGTTTTAAGTATAGATATTGTCTTTTAATATTACTTTAATAATTCTGCTCTAAAAATTCTAAAAAAAATTTATATAATCGAAAATAGCAAGCAAGCGTAAGTATGGTGATATATTTATAACTGAAGAGAAAAATAAGAATTTTTATAAGAAGCAAAAGAAATAGAAAAAAAAATTATGTAAAACTTGTTACTTATAAAGCTTATATAAGAATAATATATGCATTTGTTAAAAAAATTAATTGATATTAATTTTTAAGAAAGCACATAAATATTCCAAGCAAAATTTAAATTTACAGCGAAAAATTATTATTCATTATAATTATTAATTTTTGAAAAAATTGTATAATTTGACATTCCAAACTTTCGTGAGTTTAATCTTAAGAAAATATTTGAAATTAAAAAACTTTTCTTTCATTTACAAAATTTTAAACTCCCCTCAGCCAAAAAATTATTAGATTTCCAAAAAAAGTTAAATGTAATTTTTAAAAATAAAAATTGTTTCTTTCATCAATTTTTCAAAAAAAGAAAAAAAAAATTTCATAAAAAATACGCCATAAATTTAAGTTTAAATTAATTTAATTTTTTAATTTTAAAAATATTATTTGGCTTAAATAAATATTTTTGAAATATTGATAACAAACAATTATTTCAAGTTATAGTTGATAATTATTTTACTTTATGATTTTAAATTTTCTAAAAATCTTTTTAACGGAAAATTTATTGTTCTTCTAAACTTTTTAAAATTATTAAAAAACTATAATACAGACAATTTTTATTTGTGAAATTATTTTATTTTTAAAATTTATTTATTGAATCACTGACAATGTAAGCATATCAGATGTTAAGGCACATAAAATGTTTGTGTAAAATTTAAAATTGTAACCAATTTACAGATAAAATGAATAGATAAAAAGAATAGAACGAAAAAAAACAATCGATGAGTCAGAAAAGCATTGATTGACCTATTTGCTAAATAGTGAGACCATTTAGCTGTGATAAAATATTTGTTTGTTAAATATTTGAAAAATAAACACAGTGCATAAAATTTAAACATTCAGCTTTTATTTTCTTGATTTTAATATTTTATCTCTTTTTCTTAAATCGATTTTTAATATTTTTTTCTTAAAGGAAATTACTTGTAAATACTATTTTCTATTTTTTAAATTTTGTATCATAACTTAATTTCTTTTAAAGAAAATTTTTATCCCCGGAAAACAATTTTCAATTTTTGCAAAACGATAATTGAGTTTTCATAAAAAAATTTTATTTATCGATGAAAATAATTTCTAGAAATCAAATTTTACTAAACAGAAATTATTACAAATTTTTTTCAAAAAAAAACATTTTTTTTTTCTTTATCTCTCAAAATTATCTGAAATTTTGTTAAAAAATTTGTTGGGAAAAAATAGAAATTATGAAAATTTTTTTCTTTATTACTAATAAAACTGAAAGACTTGTTAAAAAATTTGTATCATGAAAAATATAAATGGTCCAAATTTATTTCTTTTTTCTTCTTTTTCAAAAAGAAAAACATAATTTTGTATAAAAATTGTAATTATGAAAATAGAAATTATGCAAATTTTTATCATTAATTTCTTTAAAAAAAATTTTTCGTTACAAGTTGTGATTAAAAAACAGAAGTTAATTTAATCTAATTTAATTTTTACTATTATTTTATAAAAATCTTTTTAAATTCTCAGTTTTATTTTCAATTAAAAATTGTAACAATGGACAAATCGAAAAACTGTATAATTTCAATCATTTAAGCAAAATGTCAAAAAACAAAAGCATACTTTTTAAAAAATATAATTTTTCAAAAATACGATTATATTTCAATACAATTTTTAAAGGTATTAATAAAATAAAATTCTTTCAATTATAAAATTATTTTTAAAAAATTTGACAAAACTTTTATTTGTTTCAATTTTTAAAATTATTTAAGAAATTTCATTATCTTCAAAAAAGAGTTTAATTACAATGTTGCAAAAAACAAATTTTTTCAAAATTTCTAAATTAAATTATTCAAAAATTCAATAATATTTGTGGAACAAATATTTAAAAAAAATAATTTAATTTATTTTAATTGTAATTGCAAATAATTTCAATGTAAAATCTTTTAAAATTTAATTATTTCCAAAAACTACAACTGCAATTTTTCCAAAAATCAATTATTTTTAAGAATTTTTGAATTTTGAAATTCTTTTTTAAATTAGTTCTTATCTAGAATTCAACTATAAAAATTAAATTATTTAAATAGAAAAATTTTTGTAAAATTTAATTATTTTCTAAATTTCTAGTTACAATTCTTCAAAAATATTATTATTTATTTGTCCACCGGGAATTAAAATTTCAAAATACTTTCAGTGCATAAAACCTTTTGAACTTTAATTATTTCTAATAATTAGCATTGAAATTCTGCCAATTATTGAAATATTTTCTAAAATTTTAACTGAAATTCCTTTTTCAATCAATTTTTATCAAAAATTTTTAAATTTTAAAATTTTAAATCAATTTTCTTTATTTTTATTAAAAAATTCTACATGAATTTAATTATTTAAATCCAAAAATAAATAATACATTGTATAATTGAATGTTTATTAAAATTGAATTCTCATAAAGAATTTTATCAATTTAAATAATTGAATTCTTTTGACAAATGATGTTGATGATTTTTATTATTTATGAAAATAATTTAATTATTGCGAAAAAATTTATAAAAAAAAATTTGTAAATAATTGAATTGCTGTGAAATTTTTATTATTTTAGGAAAATAATTAAATGTTTGCGTAGAATTTTATTCGATTTTATTAATATTTTTTTAAAATAAATGAATTCATTTGGAAATTTTTTTTTTAAATAGTCGATATTAAAAATCATTGAAATGAGGAAAAATTTTTAAAATAATTAGAAGTTTGCCAAAAATTGTATTAAAATTTTTGAAAATAATTGAATTTTGAAGAAGAATTTTATTACTTTTGAAAATAATTGAATTTTATTATTTATAAAGATAATTGAAATTTTGCCAAGAATTGTATTAAAATTTTTGAAAATAATTGAATTTCGGAGAAGAATTTTATTATTTATAAAGATAATTTAAATTTTGACGAGAATTTTTGTTAAATTTTTGAACAGAATTGAATTTCTGTGAAGAATTTTATTACTTTTGAAAATAATTGAATTTCTGCAATCATTTTAAACTTCTACAAAATTCTTCAAATTATATCGCACAATTGACGAAATTTTCGTCCTTTTTCAATCAAATTACGAACTTTACGGACCTTTTTTTAAAAAAAACTGACTTTTACCGACTTTAAGAAAATTTACTGACCCAGTTCGAGCCTTGTTATTATAATTGATAATTAATAGTTATTTGTTTAATAAAATATTTATTCTTAAGAATACTTTTCCCATTTTTTCTTTAAAACAATTCTTGTTCACATTTACTTCAATTTTGGGATAAAAGTGAATTATTAGAATTATAAATTATTATTATACAATTACTCGGGGTAATTGTAAACAGAAATTTGTGAGCGATTCAAAAACTTATGTTCTTTCCAATGGCCCTCGTTTTTCTAGAAAAGTAAAATAAAAATGAAAATAATATTAATTAGCAATTGAAAAAAAAAAAACATTTGTGGCGCGATCTTAAGAAATGGATCTTAGAAGCAAATCGCTTTAAGGTTATGTTAGCGTTACTTTTTTCTTGTTAGGAAGTTTTTTTTTACTTATTGAAAATTAAAATCAGTGTTTATTAAATATTTTAGTTGTAACGAAGACTTAAACATCAATAATTTGTATTGACAGTTGTATTTTCATTTCAAAAATAGCAAACATAACCTATATTTTTTTTTGCTTCTAAGGCCCCTTTCTTCAGATTGCGTCACATTTTTAATTTTCATCGCAAAATGATTAAAATATTTAATTTAATTTCTCCAAGAAGCATCATCATCTTTTTTAGGGGAAAAAAGTAAAAATCCACCAAATGGAAATTCGATTTCTGGAAACACTCAATATTCATGCGTTTAGCTTCTGAAGATGAGAGGAGGAGGAGGAGGAGATGAAGAAGAAGAAAGCAGCATAAGACGTTGAAGACGAAACAAGATTACAAGAAACAGGAAGCCTTGTGTTATGTGTTTGAAGCAGTACCTGTACTCTGAAGTTGTGCTGGCGAGCCGAGCGCGCCCAATGGCGAGCCACCGTAGCCTAAAGCTGCGAGGCCAGCGGTCAATCCCGATCCTTGTTGTTGCGCTTGTTGCACGGCTACTGCCTGAGCTTGAGCAACCACTGCCGCTGCACTGCACGCCGCCAGACCTGCACCAAAAGCCCGCAACCCACACAACCCAACTTAATACTCAAAGTAAACCAGCAAATTTCTTTTCTTTTTCTCTCTTTTCTCTCATTTCTCTCATTTCTCTTTGTTAAAACGTACCAAATACCATTTCACACAGACAAACACTTTTGCAAAACAAAAAAAGAGACAGTTAATTGTTAGATCTTCACAATATTATATATTATAATACTTTTTAGTCACGATACTGGAATTTTGCACATTCTATTGCTTATTTATTATGTACAAAAAAATACACATGTACAACAGACAAAAACACGTAGAAAACAAATTAAACTATTAGTATAAACTATAAATGATGTTAGAGTACTTCTTCAGTTAATGCCACTATTTTTTTTTCTCTGTCACAAAATTCAGAACGATTCATAAAATTTGCCCTTTTTCCCAAAATTTTAATTTTGCATTTATTGCATTTATCCGACTAGATAGTCGGGGTAAATTGTAAACAGAAAGTTATGAGCGAAATAATTGTGTAATTTCAGGGTTGCCACAAAAATTTATTTTCGTTTCTTCCTGACTTTTCCAGACAAAATTTTCACTTCTTCCCTTGCCCTAAAAAATATAAAAAATTAGATAAAAATAAAAAAATTATTAGATAAAAATTATTAGATACGAAAAAAATATTCCATTACTAAAAATGTTCTATCTACGAATTTCTTTAACCGTAAAATTATTCGAAAACATCAATAACTTCCTTTTTCAATAAATATTTAATCATTCTTATTTTTCCACATATTTATCATATAAAAATATTCTACTGTAACTTCTTAAAAATTATTTTTATCATTTTAATTCAATTACTATTTTTTAGAATTTTTAACAAAAATTCTTCTTTAAATCAATTATTTTTAATAATTTTTCAAAAAGTTCTTTGAGAGTTTTCAAATCCATTTTTTTACAAATTCAATTTTACGAAATTTCGATCATTCAGAAATTTTTTAAATTAAATTATATTAGAAAAAAAATTTCAAATTTTAAAAAAATTCAATTCAACTTTAAAAAAAAATGAATTCTACAGAATTGCTAGTTAAACTTATGAAAAATTCAGATTTTTAAAGATTTTAATGTGAAACCTTTTCGAAATTCAATTATTTCTAAAAATTGTATTAAAAATGATTGAAATTCTACGATGAGTTATATTATTTATGAAAATAATTAAAAGTTTTTCTAGAATTTTATTAAAATTTTTTTGAAAATAATTGAAAACTTTTGTCAAAATTTTATTAAAATAGTAGATTTTGAAAATAAAATTGAAATTTTTCCAAGAATTTTATTAAAATTTTTGAAAATAAATAGCGTAGATTTTTATCAAAATTTTTAAAAATAAATTGCGTAGAATTTTATCAAAATTTTTTTTAAATAATTGAATTCTTTTGCAAAATTTTATTAAAATATTAAATATTGAAAAACATAGAATTGGACAAATTTTTTGAAAATAATTTCTAATTCGATGATTTTCAATATCTAATCAATTATTTTAAAAAATATTTTTTTTAAATTCTTTGGAAAAATTCAATTATTCTCATAAAATATTAGAATTTTTCACAGGAATTCCATTATTTTCAAATATTTTAATAAAATTGTTCGAAAGAAATCAATTATTTTAAATACAATTATAATTAAATTTTTTTGAAATAATCCAATTATTCTTTTAGATTTTAATAAAAATTCTTCACAAAAAATTGAAGTAATTCAATTATTTTTTAGATTTTAATAAAATTCTTCCCAAAAGTTCAATTATTTTCAGGCATTTTAATAAAATTCTTTGCAAAATTCAATTTTTTTCATAAATACCAATATTCAATTATTTGAATTGAAAATCTCACAAGAATTCAATTATATCTAAAAATAATAAATTTCCTCTTAGAAATTCAATTATATTAAAAAATTCTAATAAAATCATTCGCAATAATTCAATTATTTTCATAAATAATAAAATGCTTTTTAGGAATTCAATTATTTTCTAAAAAATTTAATAAAATGCCACACAGACATTTAAATTGAATTAAATTTAATTCTCATGAAGAATTTTATCAACAAATTCTTAAATAATTGAATTCTTTTTACGAATTTTAAAAATCTTTTTAAGAATAATTGCATGTTTCGAGAAATTCGATTAAAATTGTATTAAAAATAAATAAAATTCTGCTATGAAATTTATTATTTATGAAAATAATTGAATTGATAAAAAGAATCCTACTATTTATGAAAATAATTGATTTCCTATAAAAAATTGTATCATTTATGAAAATAATAGAACTATTTTGAATAAATAAATAAAAAATTTGTAAATAATTGAATTCTTGTGAAATTTTTAGTATTTATCAAAATAATTTAATTTTTTGCGTAGAATTTTATCAAATTTTGATTAAATATGTAAATTCTTATGGAAAATTTTATTAAAACAGTAGATATTGAAAATTATTTTGAGGAAAATTTTGGAAAATAATTGAAATTTTGACAAGAATTTTATTCAAATTTTTGTAAATTATTGGATTTTCGAGAAGAATATTATTGTTTTTTAAAAAAATTGAAATTTTGAAGAGTTTTTAAATTTTTTTGAAAATAATTGAATTTTGGAGAAGAATTTTATTATTTTCAAGAATAATTCAAATTTTGAAGAGAGTTTTTAAAGATTTTTCCAAATAATTGAATTTTTAAGAAAAATTTAATCCAAATTTTTGAGAAAAATTTTATTATTTTTAAAAATAATTGAAATTTTGAAGAGTTTTTAAAATTTTTTTTAAATAATTGAATTTTGGAAAAGAATTTTATTATTTTTAAGAATAATTGAAATTTTGAAGAGTTTTTAAAATTTTTTCAAAATAATTGAATTATTAAGAAGAATTTTTTTTGAAAATAATTTAATTTTTAAGAAGGATTTTATTATTTTTAAAGATAATAGAAATTTTGAAGAGAGTTTTTTAAAATTTTTAAATTTCAAATAAAAACCTTTTGAATTTTATCTATTTATGAAAATTGTAAACGCAACTCTTTTAAAATGCAATTAATTTTGAAATATTTAAGTAAACTTATTCATAAAATAATTTCTAAGTAATAATTTTATGATAGTTGTTCAAGAATTAAATTACTTAAAAAGAAATTATTGTCAGAAATGGAAAAATTTTAAAGCTCTGTATTAGAATTCGTGGTAATTTCATAGTTTGTGAGGCAAACAAAAATGACCCCAAAATTTAGAATTTTTTTAACAATTTTTAAAAATTTAATTTTTTGCAGTACTTTTAATAAAAAAACCCTGACTTTTCCCTGACCTTTGGCAACCCTGGTAATGTAATGACAAAGTAATTACTATGCAGCATAGAATAAACGAAAATGACTTTAGTAAATTTACGAAAACCGGTAAGAAGAAAAAAATGGGGAAAATTTGAAAAATTAGGAAACGTTCATCGGCAGATATAAATTTGTGAACTTGGCTTACCATTGAATAGCCGCGGGGATCAAGTGTTCTGAAAAGTGATAATGAAAATAGTTTGAAAGTAAACTCACCTAAACATTCTCCCGATGCATTACTGTGAGATGTGGGGGTTGGTTGAGAATAAATACTGGGCGGTGGAGGTGCAGGCGGACCCTGAGGGGGCTGCGATGGTGCTCTGTTCACCAGAACTGGCGCTGGACTGACGAGGCGCATTGGTGTTGCTGCTGAGCCCAAGCCGCGTACTCCGCCAACCATAATCGAACCATTCTGGCCCACTTCATAATAAGCTGGTATCACTTGATATTGACCCTGAACCTGCGAGCAGAAGAAAAATATTTATTTTCCTAATGTAGCGAAAATCAAACGGCTCGGATTTTTTGGGGGAAAATCTAAAACCACAGTTTTTAATAACAAATTCCTACCACGTTGAAGGACAAATTACTTTGTAAGTAGTTAAAGTTATTTTATATTTTTTGCCCAGTATAAAAAAATCCAAGTTTAAAAACTCGGAGAAAATAAAATAAAAAGATTTTTGAGTTTAAAAAAAAGAAGTTTTCCAAAGTCTGCAAAAAGTAGAAAATTTTTTTTTAAATAATAAAAAATATTCATTTTTCTTATATTTTTCTTTAAAGAAGAGGCGAGGGGGAGAATATAAATGATTGTAGGTGTTTTAAGGAATTATATTAATTTAACGGAATGAAATTTCGCACTCGATAATTAATTTTAAAAAAATAGCAAAAACGAACTTTCAAATTAAAAAATGTAGTAAAAACTTAGTTATCGAAAACTGACAAAACTCCATTCTATATTTTATTTTCCTGACTTTTTCCTAATTTTCATCAAAAATATTTACTTTTCTCTTATCGTGCTAATAAATTGATTTCTTACGACTAATTTTATGCAAATTCTAATTTAAATAATTGAATTCCTGAGAAAATTTTATTATTCATGAAAAGAATTGAATTCTTACGTAGATTTTTACAAAATTTTTTTTAAATAATTGAATTCTGTTTGGAAATTTTATGAAAATTTAGTAGATATTGAAAATCAATGAAGTGCCAAAAGTTTTTAAAAATAATTAAATTTTACAGAGAATTCTCTCAAAATTTTTTAGAATAATTGAATGTCTGTGTGGCATTTTATTACATTTTTGAAAATAATTGAATTCCTAAAAAAATTTTATTATTTATGAAAATAATTGAATTTTTGCAAACGATTTTATTAGCATTTCTTAAAATCATTGAATTTCGAAGAAGAAATTTATTAGGTACTTTTAAAAATAATTGAATTCTTGTGATGAATATTGTTATTTACAAAAATAATTGAATTTTACAAAGAATTTTATTAAAATGCCTGAAAATAATTGAATTTTCAGGAATAATTTTGTTATTTATCTTTAATAATTGAATTCTTTCGAAGAATTATTTATGTAAATAATTGAATTCTTGGGAAGAATTTTATTAAAATCTAAAAGAATAATTGAATTATTTCAAAAACATTTAATTAAAATTGTATTAAAAATAATTGAAATCCTGCGAAGAACTTCTTAAAATAATTGAATTTCAAAGAAGAAATTTATTACTTTTAAAAATAATTGAATTCTTGTGATGAATATTGTTATTTATGAAAATAATTGATATTTGCAAAGAATTTTATTAAAATGCCTGAAAATAATTGAATTTTCAGGAATAATTTTGTTATTTATCTTTAATAATTGAATTCTTTAGAAGAATTATTTATGTAAATAATTGACTTCTTGGGAAAAAATTTAATTGAAATTGTATTTAAAAAAATTGATTTATTTCGATCATTTTTATTAAAATACTTGAAAATAAATAAATTCCTGTGAAAAATTCTAATATTTTTATAAATAATTGGATTTTTCCAAAGAATTTAAAAAAAACATTTTTTTTGAATAATTGATTTTTTAAGGAATTGAAAATAAATTTTTAAGAATAATTACATTTTTTGTTCTATTTTTGTAAAATTGTATTAAAAATAATTGAAATCCTGCGAAGAATTTTATAATTTATGAAAATAATTGAATTATTGCGAAAAATTTTATTAAAATTTTCAAAAATAATTGAATTCCTTAGATGAATTTTATTATTCATGAAAATAATTGAATTTTTGCGAAAAATTTTATTAAAATGTTTAAAAAGAGTAACTAACAAAAAAATTTTTTTTTTTTCTAAAGGGGAAAAAGGGGAGAATATAAATAATTTTAGATGTTTTAAGGAAGTTTATTAATTTAAGGGAATAAAAAAGCGACTAACTGTAATCCCTGCAATCAAAATGACTCATAAACATTCTTTTGTCAAAAAAAACGTACAATTACGTTCTTTAAAATCTTGATTGACGTGAAACACTTTCGATAGAGATGATTATTTGAAGTCAGTGATAAAATTTTATCCTACTTTCGAAATTTAGAATTGAAATTTGGAAAAGATTTGCAAATAAATAATAATAATTAAACAATTCATATTCATTGTTAGTGGTTTTAAAATCAAATATTCCGCTTCTATTCATCTCAATCCTCAAGTAATAGCCTTTATAAGTATATTATTCATGAACCGGAATTCAGGTGTTAGTTCCTTCACGGCATTTAAATCTCCAATGTCTAAACCAAGGCGTAACCACAGTGACACATTTCGTCATTTTTTTTCTGTCAAAACATAAAATAAAATCATAAAACTCCAAGTCTAACGAAACAAAAAAAATTATATTCCGAATTTTCTATTTTTTCTGCATTTTATTTTACAATTTTAACAAAAAATAATATTGAATTGAAATTTTGCCATAAATTTTATTAAATATTTGTGAAAATAATTGAATTTTATTACATTAAAAAAAAATTGAATTATTGTGATAAATACTATTATTTATGAAAATAATTGAATTTTGCAATGAATTTTATTAAAAAATTCCTGAAAATAATTGAATTTCGTCGAAGAAATTTAGCTATTCATTTATAAACATATTTGAAATGTTGACAATTTTTTAAAAGTTTTTTTTGAAAATAATTTAATTTCTCAGAAGAATTTTATTAATTTTGAAAATAATTGAATTCTTCTGACAAATATTGTTATTTATGAAAATAATTTAATTTTACAATGAATTTTATAAAAGTTCCTGAATATAATTGAATTCTGTCGAAGAAATTTTGCTATTCATTTATAAACATATTTGAAATGTTGACAATTTTTCAAAAGTTTTTTTGAAAATAATTGAATTTCTCCGAAGAATTTTATTATTTTTGAAAATAATTGAATTCTTGTGCTGAATATTGTTAATTATGAAAATAATTGAATTTTACAATGAATTTTATAAAAATTCCTGAATATAATTGAAATTCGGCGAAGAATTTTGCTATTTATAAAGATCCATGAAATGTTGATGAGAATTTAAAAAAAATTGTGAAAATAATAGAATTTCTAGAAAAAATATTAATATTTATAAAGATAGGGGAGAGTAGGCTACATTGAACCAGCGTCAACAGTGAACCACTTGAATTTTCTGAGAAATGACTGAGTGAAATTTTTTCTTATTTAATATATAAGTTAGTTTTACTGAAACAAACGATGTCCAAAAATTTCGGGCAAGTAGGTTTATTATTTACAAAGAAAAACTAAAAAAACTGTTTTTCACGTACAAAACAAAAAATTTGGTGGAATTATAATGACGTTTTTTTATTGAAATAGGAAGTTTTAAAAATTAGTAAACTTGCGATTTATTTCGCTTAGGGTGTCAACTTCAATATTCCGATGTGATAAAGAACTTTAAATCTTACACAAATTTATTATAAACAATTTTTGTTGTGAATGTCATGTGAATACAGTGAGTGCGGCATCATTGAACCACCCGAAAAAGCAAAGAATTTTCAATTTTAAGAGTTGTAAAGTTGTCTGCTCTACTAATTAGTAAGAAAAATACTGGAAGACATGCTTTCATCACAATTGTGAACGAGATAAACTCAAACTGTCACTTTACCTACCTAACCTGACATCAAAATATATTAATCTCCTATATTAACAAATGATAACTCTTTAACAACAATTTTCTATTTTTTGAGTGAAAAATAAGATTTTTTACAATGTGTAAGTGGAAATATTATTTTTGAAGTAAATTGTAGTGTTTTATTAGAGGTGGTTCAATGTAGACACATCCTTCAAAATAAGAAAAGTGTGACTTGTTAGAAAAAAATTTAATTTAATTATTTAATCATAATAATTTGTGTTTGTAACGTGTGTATTAACTAAAGGAGTACTTCAGCTTAATTTTTATACAAAAACCTGATCGAAATTAGTAAAATTTTATTAGTTCTTGGACTTTATAAAATACCCGGTTCAATGTAGCCTACCCTCCCCTAGTTGAATTCTTTCAAAGAATTGCGTTAAAATTTTTAAATTTGAAACTAATTTCAACAGAATTGAAATTAAAATTTTTCAAAAAAATACTTCACTGAATGATTTATTATTATATTTTATTTTTCGGAAATTCTCTAATTAAATATTTTTTAGGAAATTAAAACTTCCAATAATTCAAAAAAAAATTCAATTAAATTTTTTCAAACAAATTAATTTCACAGAATTGTTAGTTAAAAGTATGACAATTTCCAATTTTCAAATATTTTAATTTCAAACCTACCTATTCAAAATTCAAATATTTTTAAAAATTCATATTATAATGCTTTTAATATTTAATTATTATCTAAAATTATAACTAAAAATAATTTTTATATCAATTTTCATTAGAAGATTACACAAGAATTCAATTATTTAAATACATAAATAAATAATTTATTAAATCATTACAATTTTCTAGAAATTCTATTAATATTGTATTAAAAATAATTGAAATTCTGCGATTAGATTTATTATTTATGAAAATAATTGAATTATTGCAAAGAATTTTATAAAAGTTTCAAATGCTAAATTTTAAAACATTTGATTTTTTTTGAAAAAATTTATGCAAATTCTATTCTAAATAATTAAATTTCTATGAAATTTTTATTTTTTTTGGAAAATAATTGAATGTTCGTGTAGAATATTGTCAAAATTTTTGTTTAATAATTAAATTATTTTGGGAAATTTTATTAAAATAGTAGAATATTGAAAATCATTAAATGAAGAAAAAATTTTGAAAACAATTGAAAATTTGCCATAAATTTTATTAAAATTTTTGAAAATATTTGAATTTTAGCTACTTTTCAAAAAGAATTGAATTCTTGTGATGAATACTATTATTTATGAAAATAATTGAATTTTGCAAAGAATTTTATTAAAAATTCCTGAAAATAATTGAATTCTGTCGAAGAAATTTTGCTATTCATTTATAAACATATTTGAAATGTTGACCATTTTTTTTAGGTTTTTTTTTGAAAATAATTGAATTTCTCCAAAGAATTTTATTAATTTTGAAAATAATTGAATTCTTGTGATGAATATTGTTATTTATGAAAATAATTTAATTTTACAATGTATTTTATAAAAAATTCTGAATATAATATTGAATTTCGGCGAGGAATTTTGCTATTTACAAAGATAATTAAAATGTTGACGGAATTTTTAAAATAATTTAGAAAATAATTCAATTTCTGGAAAGAATTTTAATATTTATAAAAATAGTTGAATTCTTTGAAAGAATTGCGTTAAAATTTTTAAAATTGAAATTAATTTCAACATAATTGAATTTGAAATTTGTCAAAAAAAATACTTTATTAAATGATTTATAAGTAATAACTTTATGGCAGTGCTTCAATAGAATTAAGTTATTTAAAATAAATTATTATTAGAAATAGAAAAATTTAAGTTTTTTTTTTAAATTGGTGATAATTTCATAGTTTATGAGGCGAACAAAAAAAAACACCAAAATTCGGAATTTTCTTATAAATTCTGAATATTAAATTTTTTCCAGTATTTTTAATAAAAATTCCTGACTTTTCCCTGACTAATTCTACTATCTCTGACTTTTCTCTGATTTCCCTGATTCATAATCCCAAAAGACCTCAAAAGCATCCGAGTAACAATTTTCCAGCGAATCCATTGACTTTTTACAAATACGACGGCCATTTTGATTCCGCCATTTTGAATTTTGCACTTCTGACTTCAAATACGTAATTATTTACAAAAGAAGCTAAAATACCACTCTAATATTATCTGTTTCTACTTTCTAGTTATTTTATTCTTTATTTTTGAAGTTTCATTTGATATCATATTCAGTTCACGAATATTGACTTGAAAAATTTGTAATGACAATATCTCAGAGATAAAAAAATGATTTTCAAAAAAGAAAATGCACGTAGGCTATTTTTGCACGGACTGCTTAATTTTTTTAAATAATTAAAAATTGTCTGAATCATTAAGCAAGGGATGAGGTAATAAATAATAGTTTAATTACAGAAAATAAATAAAGGAGGAAATTAAAATTTACCGTTTGGGCGAGATTTGCAGAATCTTGTGCAGCAGCCGCTGCAGCGGCGGCCGAAGATGGTGTCAGTGGTCGTCTAGGTGGTGGCGGTGCTTGCGCTTGAGGTGGTGCTTGAGGCAATAATCCCGGATACACCCAAGGGCCGACATTATAATATTGAGGCACAACTGGCGGTGCGCCTGCAATTAGTGCTCCAACATAGGGCTCCTGTCCACTGATGACCGTGTACGGAGCTGTTGGGAAATTTTGTTGTTGCTGTTGCTGCTGTTGCTGTTGGGCTTGTGAAGCCAAAAACTGTTGTTGCTGTTGTTGCTGCTGCTGTTGCTGTTGAAGTAACTGCAGCTGTTGTGGTGTCGCTCCCTGCGGTTGACTTCGAAATAATTGCTGAAAAAATCCAAACAAAACCATTCGATTAATATTTAATACCCACATCATTGGAATAAGAAATTTATTCCAATTTATTCAACTGGTTCATTATTACTTGTTATTATTTGTTCCATTATTAACTGTTTATTATTATCTTCAATATCTGTCTATTATTATCTATAATATCAGACTTCGCACTCGATAATTAATTTTAAAAAAATAGCAAAAAGTAGCTTTGAAATTAAAAAAATGTAGTAAAAAATAAGCTGTCGAAAAATTAAACTTGACGACAAAAAAACACGTTTTAGACACTTTACAAAACTGACAAAAATTCCATTCTATATTTTATTTTCCTGACTTTTTCCTAATTTTCATCAAAAATATTTACTTCTTTCTTATCCTACTGCTAATAAATTCAATTCCTGTAACGAATTTTATTATTCATCAAAGAATTTTAATATTTATAAAAATAATTTAATTCCTGCCCAGAATTTTACAAAAATTTTTAAATAATTCATTTCTTTCGACTAATTTTATACAAATTCGAAATATAATTAATTGAATTCCTGAGAAATTTTTATTATTCATGGAAATAATTGAATTCTTACGAAGATTTTTGCAAACATTTTTTTAAATAATTGAATTCTGTTTGGAAATTTTATGAAAATAGTAAATGTTGAAAATCATTGCATTGCTAAAAGTTTTTTAAAAAGTTTAAATTTTGCAAAGAATTCTCTCAAAATTTTTGAGAATAATTGAATGTCTATGTGGCATTTTATTAAATTTTGTAGAAAATAATTGAATTCCTAGTCCCGTTTAATACTTAAATAAATAAATAAATTCCTAAAAATCATTTTATTATTTATGAAAATAATTGAATTCCTGTGAACGATTTTATAAGAATTTTTTAAAGTAATTGAATTTCCAAGAAAGAAATTTACAAATTTTAAAAATAATTGGATTCTTGTGATAAATATTAAAATTTATAAAAATAATTGAATTTCGCAAAGAATTTTATCAAAATGGATCAAAATAATTAAATTTTCGGGAATAATTTTGTTATTTATCTTTAATAATTGAATTCTTTCGAAGAATTCTTTATGTAAATAATAGAATTTCTGTGAAAAATTCCAATATTTTTGTAAATAATTAAAATTCTTCCAAAGAATTAAAAAAATACATTTTTTTTAAATAATAGTTTTTTCGAGGAATTGAAATTAAATTTTTAAGAATAATTACATTTTTTGTTTTATTTTTGTAAAATTGAAGTAAAAATAATTGAAATCCAGTGATGAATTTGATTATTTATGATAATAATTGAAAAGTTGCAAAAAATTTTATTAAAATTTTCAAAAATAATTGAATTTCTATGAAGAATTTTATTATTCATGAAAAGAATTGAATTCTTACGAAGATTTTTATAAAAAAAATTTTTAAATAATTGAATTCTTAATAAGATTTTAATAAAAAACATTTTTAATATTGAATTCTGTTTAGTAATTTTATGAAAATAGTAGATTTTGAAAATCATTGAATTGCAAAAAGTTTTTAGAAATAATTAAATTTTACAAAGAATTCTATTAAAATTTTTGACAATAATTGAATTTCTGTGTGGCATTTTATTAAATTTTTTTGAAAATAATTGAATTCCTAAAAGACATTTCATTATTTATGAAAATAATTGAATTCCTGCGAACGATTTTATTAGAACTTTTTAAAATAATTTAAAATAATTGAATTCTTGTCATGAATATTGAAATTTATGAAAATAATTGAATTTTGCAAAGAATTTTATTAAAATGCATAAAAATAATTAAATTTTCGGGATTAATTTTGTTATTTATCGGCCTCATTGAATTCCTTTAAAGAATTATTTATATGTAAATAACTGAAATCTTGAGAAGAATGTTATTAAAGTCTGAAAGAATAATTTAATTATTTCAAAAAAATTTAATTAAAATAGAATTTGAAATAATTGATTTTCTTCGATCAATTTTATTAAAATATTTGAAAATAATTGAATTCCTGTAAAAAATTCTAATATTTTTGTAAATAATTGAAATTTTTCCAAAGAATTAAAAAAATTCATTTTTTTAAATAATAGTTTTTTCGAGGAATTGAAATTAAATTTTTAAGAATAATTACATTTTTGATTCTACTTTTGTAAAATTGAATTAAAAATAACTGAAATTCTGCGGTGAATTTTATTATTTATATGATAATAATTGAATTCCTGAGAAGAATTTTATTAGGTATTTATGAAAATAATTGAATTATTGAGAAAAATTCTATTAAAATGTTTAAAAAGAATTGAATTGTTGTAAATAATATTGATATTTTTCAAAATTATTGAATTCTTCATAAGAATTTTAAAAATATTATTTAAATAATTAATTTTTTCGAAATATGTAAAAAATAATATTAAAATTTTTATTTTAAATAATTGAATTTTTCGATTAATTAATTTAAAATAGTATTAAAAATAATTGAAATTCTTCGATGAGTGTTATTATTTATCAAAAGAATTGAATTCTTGCCTAGAATTTTATCAAAACATTTTTTAAAAAATTGAATTTTTATAAAAAATATTTTTAGTGAAAGTAATTGAATTATTGTGTAGAATTGTATAAGAATTTTGTTAAATAATAGATTTTTCGAAATGTTTTTAAAAATTATATTCTAAATGAATTGACTTCCTGTGGAAATTTTATATTTATATGAAAATAATTGAATTTTTGATTGATATTTATCAATTTTTTTTTTAAATAATTGAATTTTTTTAGCGAAATTTTCTCAAAATACTAGATATTGAAAATAATTGAATTTCGAATATTTTTTTGAAAATAACTGAATTTCGAATATTTTTTTGAAAATAACTGAATCGTTTTAAAGAATTTGATTATAATTGTTTTGAATAGTTTTTTTATTTCCAGTATTAGCGAATTTAAAGTAATGAAAATTCTAAAATAACAGAAATAATAGTTTTTAGTGTCACAAATTTAAAAAAAAAGTACTCAAATAGTATCATAACGTAAAAAAATGAGTAAATAGTTGGTTTTAGTAGATGAGTGCGAATATCTACAATATTAATATTTACACGCTTCGACTAGAACTTAGAAATTTTAGAATTGAAATCACTCAGAAAAAGGCTAAAAGTCAAAGACAAGTTCTAATGATAAAGATTAGAATTGTAATTTGCATAAAAAATCTGCTCCTCTCCTTTTGCGCAATACTCAAGTGGACTCGAGTTTGTTGAAAACCTTGAAAATGAAGCAAAGGAGCCTTGAAGGAAAGAGGAACCTTGAGACATTGTTAAGGCGTTAAATAGAAAAACAAATTTTTTTCGATATAAATCACAGGTGTAAAAATGAAAGAGAAGAAAGTTGCGGGCAATAAGTAGAAATGTCACATAAAATATTGATGTGTGAGTATAATAAAAGTGCTTTAAAAAAGAAAAAAAGAAAAAAAAAAAAGAGTGACAGGATGTATTATTATGACTGGGTTATAACAGTGATTGACATGATAAGAAAATACCTAATTATTAAATGATTAATAATAATAATAGGAATACAAGTGAAGAATATCAAGATGAAGTTAATTCTGCCATGAGGATAGAACCGTGTTTCTCTAGAGGATTTGAGGTTAATGAACTTTTGCGGACGTTCACCGGCAAGACAAGCAAAGCAAGCGTCGTTCGCCTCTATATACACCAACTTTAACGCTCTCCATGTCTTTGGTCCTTAATTTTTTTTTCAAACCTGGTACTAAGAGACACGAGTAACGGAATGTTTCGGTGAATATTATTGCGAGTCAATAAATGAATAATTCGTCTACTAGATTTCATGATTATTTCGATATAAACACCACACACCAATGGGTAATTAAATAAAAAAAAAAAAAAAAAAAAAAAGGAGCTGCTACTATTATTATAGTAGCAGCTCCATTTTTTTATTTTACACTTGTGAAAATCGTTTATTTTCTAAAATGCATTAACTTGAATTACTTCTCTTTAGGAAACTGAGAGTCATTAAAATATTATGGGGCAAAAAATGAGTTCTAAAAAGTCTTTTGATCAATCAGCATATAATTACGTAATAAAAAAAAAGAAACACTTTTTTTCTACTTTTTTGTCTTGAATAAAAATCAAAATTGTAGGAAAAAAAATTCATTAACTATTGAGTCATCCTCTTCCTTCGGAAGCTGTGCCGTCAATTTTAATATTCAAAAACTTTTTTTGTCAAAACTAGAAAAACTTAATTTTTATTTTATATTCAAAAAAATGTTGTTACAAAATTACCCCATTGTCGGGGTAATTACGAAATAACCTGTTATTTTTACTGTAAAATAATTTATTTACTTTTTTATTTATACGAAATTTGTAAATATTTTGTTTTTTATTCCCTTTCTCGGGTTAATTTTTAAACAAATTATGTTTTTATTGTAAAAGTTTTGATTTACTTTTTTCAGACTTCACACTGAATAATTAATTTTGAAAAATTGACCAAAAAAAAATAAATGTAAAAAATAGTAAAAAGTAGTAAAAAATAATAAAAATTAGCTGCCGAAAAATAAAATTTAACGATTAAAAAACTCATTTTAGTCGATTCAGAATAATCACAAAAATTCAATTCTGTATTTTCTTGACATTTTCCTAACTTCCATAAAAAATATTCACTTTTTTTCCTAATAATACCTTTAATTTAAAAATTTTATAAAATTCAGTTATTTTTACAAACTTTTAGTTAGAAATTCTTCAAAAATTCAATTATGTTCAAAAATAATTTTTAAAGGTAAAAAAATAAAATTTTTTAAACATAAAATTTATTTTAATTAAATTTGACAAAATTTCTAATTAATTGAAAATTTTAATAAATATTTTTAAAATTATTATTAACGCGAATTTACCTATATTCCAAAAATTTAATAATTAAAATTTTTCAAAAAACTAAAAATTCCTATTATAACGCAATTTAATATTCAATTAAAATCAAAAATTTTATTTTAAATCAATTCTTATT